CTCAGCCTCTCAAATAGCTGGGACCAGAGGCGCCCGCCACAACGCCCAGCTATTTTTTTTGTTGCAGTTTGGCCAGGGGCCAGATTCAAACTCACCACCCTCAGTATATGGGTCCAGCGCCCTACCCACTGAGCCACAGGTACCACCCATGATGTGTTAACTTTTGTCTGTGTCTGAGATGCTACTGGAATCCAGAGGTTAGGGATGCTCTTAAACATCCCATTATACCCAGGATAGGCCCCACAACAAAGGATGATGGAGTCCACTGTGTCAACAGAACGAAAGGCAAGAAACTCTGTTTATATTTAATAATAATTCTGACAACCACGAAGGGCAACTTATCTGTCAACTTTCCACTGTACAGCCTGCACCCAGCATATGCACACACAGCCTGCAACAAAGCACAAATGTGCAAGGATAACACCAGCTATGACTCAGAGCTGTTTAATGGACGCTGAACTATACACAACACAAAAATTAGCTCCTGTGATTTTTCCAACAACACTGAGATAGGCACACCATTATCCATTTACTGCAAGCCAGGAAACTGAAGCACAAAATACTAAAAACATTTATATAGCACTTAATATGTGCCAGGCACTATTTGAAATATAATCATTGGCCAGGCATGGTGGCTCATCCTATAATTCCAGCACACAGGGAGGTTGACGCAGGAGGATACCTTGAGCTCCGGAGTTTGAGACCAGCCTGAGCTAGAGTGAGACCCCCATCTGTATTGAAAACAGAAAAACTAGGTGGCACCCATAGCTTAGTGGGTAGGGCGCTGGCTGGCCACATACACTGAGGCTGGCAGGTTCGAAACAGCACTCTACCCAGGGAGACAGCTTGAGGCTCTGTCTCAAAAAAAAAGAAAGGAATCTTCTCCAAACAAGGACATTTGAAAAATTACAATGCATGCTTTGTTCCTTAAATAACTGACAATCCAGGAAAAAAATAAAATTTTTCTAAATCTTGCTGACTTTCTGGTGATCTCTGTTACAGACCGGCCTGGAATGTCACAGACACTGAATTCAGACTTTTATACAGGATTTAAGAAAACAATGACTACTGTGACTAAATAATGGTTTAAATGTTTGATAGCTGATCAGGAGGATTCTACAGCAAGGAACAAAACATTTTTATTTGGTTCAAGGTACAGTGTATTCTGAGATAAGGGGGAGGATGTGGGTCCCTGGTTAAGATGTTTAGAAAACATTTCCCACTTATCATCCCAGCATCCTTCAAGCTTCTAATAAGAGAGGCTGGCTGCTTCTCCTGACATTTAAGCTTTTTTTTTTTTTTTTTTTGCAGTTTTTGGCCAGGGCTGGGTTTGAACCCACCACTGCCCTCTCCTTTGAGCCACAGGTGCCACCCATCTTCAAATTTCTAATAAGAGAGGCTGACTGCTTCTCCTGACATTTAAACACCTACCAGTTTGATTTGTTGTTGATTCTCTCCCCATTATTCTCACTCATTCATTTATTTAGCCAAGGGCTCCTGAAGCTCCCTGGGTGCCAAGTCCCACGTGGAAGAAAATGGCAAGGGAAATACCCAGGAACTCAGATATGAGTCCTCAGGTACTGTGGTACTGTGACAGAAAAACCTAGGAGTGTCACAAAGCAGAGAGGGAACAATTGGTTGCTTGCAAGAATCAGGGAAGGTTTCCCAGAGGAAAAGACATTTGAGTTGGAGTCTTGAAGGTTATATAGGAGTTTACTAGGGTAGTCAGTATGAACTGCATTCTGGACATTCATTCATAGAACAAAATTTTTCCTTAGGCCTCTCTTGCAGCAGACTCTGAGCTGGGTGTTAGGGACTTGACAGGCATCAGACTTGGACTCAAGGGAGCACCAATTTTTTTTACAGATTTATTTCTAGTGTAGTTATATTTTCATGATGTGTTAACTTTTTTTTTTTTT